GGATGTGTACTCATTGTTTTCAGCTTTAAATGCTGTCTTTCAATGATGTAAGCTGACTTGGGTCCTTTTTTAAGGAGAAAATAAATAAATAAATAAATAAATAAATAAATAAATAAAATACTAACAAGTTTTATTTGGCACAAATAAAGAGGTACTCCTCTTCAGGTACCTAAAGTAGCTACAATGAAAGTGTCAGAAGTGCAAAATGCAGTGCTTAGTTCATTCAGTGTAACAGGTCTGATACTCCCTAGGCCATGTATCCTGCATTGCAAAGAGAGTTCTCTCAATTTCTCAGTGAGCCATGTGAAATTTGTATATAGCAGAACTTTTGTTTTTCAGTTCCTCCTTCATCCACTAGCAATTTTGTACTCAGATTCTAACAAAGTTTGTAAGTGATTATTTGTTTAAAATCCTCTTTTGTTGCTTGTACCTACTGCACTTTTGAGATTTTCACAAGGAGACTTCTTTTCAATTACATTGAAAATGTGGTTTTAGTTTTTATATACCAAACCATACTAATCAATAGAGAGGTACCATTCAGATTTTTTGGATCCCAACTCCTAGAATTTTCCACTTGACAGACCCACACATAAAGACATCTAAATTTCAAGCTAGAACCTGGAAAAGGTTCTAGCTTGAAGGTTTCATGGCCTTTCTTCATGCTAAAACCTTACTGGGTCAGCTCTCTTTTTAAAAAGGAAGCTACAGTGGAGCTGACCATGAAGACTTTGGGCTAAGATCTTCTCCAGATGAGTGAAGTTTAGATTCTGTAGATGTGGGTCTGACAGGTAGAACTCCCAGAATAAAGAATGAATTCTTGGAGTTGGGACTCCAAAAGTAAATCCCTACTAATCAGCAGAGCTTGGAAACATTACAGTTATAATTGGCTAAGAGATTCTGAAGGTTGTAGTCTAAGAACAATAATATTTCCAAGCTCTGCTGATTAGTGGTGTGCCTCTTTGCCAGTTGCTAGAAGGTTCTCGTACTGTACTGTTTAAAAGGACTGGCTTTATATAACACATGAATGTATGCCTAGGGGATTTGCTGTTTCGTATCTCTGATGCTCATTGGAAGAATGCTGCATTTTCTAACATATCTGCACCCACATAATAGACTTCACAAGAAAGCCCACCTAACGTGAGAAGAAAATCATCAGCTATAATCACTGGAGCTGTTTTGTTATTCAGTGCAAATGCTGGATTTGCTGACTCATCCAAAAACATGGCAATGAAGCCAATATAATTATATCCAGAACAATACAGGACAATGTTCTTTTGACTCCACTGAAAGCAGAAGGCAGTCAATTAGAAACTATATAATGCTTGCTTGTTTTTTGATTGGATCCTGCTGTACTCATATCAGTTCTGAAATTCATTTATGGCAAGGGCAGTAATTTGGTAGCCCCAGGAACTTCGGGTTTTTATA